TAATTAGCTACATTTAGTCCAGATTTCAGAGTTACTATAGTTGGTCAAACTTATTGTCAAACAAATCAATCTATCTATTTAATATTCAGCATGATAATTACCTATATACATATAGTCTACAAGGAAAGTATTTGGTTCATTTCTGTTTTGTTTTTTGTTAACTGATGATGGGTTGAAGATAACCCGAAACATGTTTGCCATTAAATCTTCTTTATTAAGGAAATATGAAAAGATTACTCTTCGTTTGAACAAAGCCGAATTGGATTTTAATTTTTTACATAATTGCAAGGCATTCGGAGTTTTTCCTAAATATATATATATATTATATACAGTTCCGTAGCGAAGTGATATTCAAGTATTAGTCTAATACCATCCAGATGAAATTTATTTATGCAATTCTTCCTAGCGACAATGTATATGAAAACAGTAACATATCATTATTTTTTTAGAATTATTTCTAAGATTTTACATTTTAAACGACTCAAACTGTCACCCATAAAAAAAAGTATTTGGCTACTACCTCTTTTTCTACCTTTACAATGATGAACTACTTTCAGCGCGACGCTATACCTTCTTATTAGGCCTTTTCATGTATTTGTTAGTCCATAAATGTATGCGACGCTACGGACATTCATTCATTCATTGCGACGCTACGGACATTCATTCATTCACTCATACATGTATTTATTCAGCCAAATGATAGGAAATTACAGTAATAAAACATGCAAAGTTTATTAATGACACAAATGACTGAACAAGTATTGGAAAACATATCTATATACAATGGCCATGATAGACCAAGAAAACCAACGTTTATTAAAAAAAATAATCAGTTGGCTTTATAACCAACATCTATAATGTATAAACAATTGACAACCTTAATTCACACGGCATTTATGACTAGTACCGAATTACTTTCTTTTTTAGACTGGGAATTTAAGGGGAAATCAAAGCTTAGCAGTGAATTTACCAACGCCGTATGAACCGCCCATCGACAATGTAGCGGTAAGCATAACATCTGACTTTGTGTCACTGAATAATATTCATATTATGTAGAACCTGTTCTTCAATGTTAAATAGGAATGTTAAGTTTAATTTTAATTGTTAAATTGTTAACGAAAATAAATATCATTCTGTTTTAATCTAATTCTGATAATGAGAGAATGATTGAAAAATTAAGTAGACAATTGAATGAATGAATGAATGAATGAATGGATAAAGGAATGAATGAATGAATACATGAATGCATGAATACATGACTGAATAAATAAATTAATTGATTAATTGAAAATGAATGAATGAATGAAGGAATGAATTAATTATGGATGGCTAAATGGATGGGTGAATGAATTAATTTATGAGTGAAAAATTACAGTATAACCGAAAAAACAAAGAATTAAAGTAGGAATGAAAAATCAAATGAACGATTAAACGAATAAACAAATAAATAAATAAATGAATAAACGAGTGGAGGAGTAAGTGAATGAATCGGGATACTGACTAAGGGCAATACATTAATGGGTTACAGCACAAAGCTATATAATTATCTATTTACTTATAAATTTCCACATAGACAACGCTTCCCATTTGCTGTCTGAGTTTTATCTATTAGTATTGTATCGCCATTTGGTCTTGTGCGCATCTTTCTGCTGTTCTGATGGAAACATTGGTATCTTTGCGAATCTGGTCGATCCAAAGTTTGCAGGGTCCACCAGTTTTCCTCTTATTGTTATAAGATTCAGCGTAGGCTGTCTTAACATAGCTATCTCTTTCCCGGCCACTCTTGCGACGATATGACCGAAACAGAGTAGTCGTCTGTCTTGAATCTTTTGTACTAGACCTACTATTTTCCTTATATCGGTGTTGCGTGATTTATCAAGCAGGGATACCCGGCGTATTTTCCGAAGACATGTCGTTTCCAATACTAGTATCTTATTTTCATCTCATTGTCAGTGTCCATGTTTCAGCACTGATGAAGAATATGGCTATTTGGAACGATGAGCGACTTAAAGAGAAACATTTTTGTAGCAGTGCTAATGGTACGGTTTTTCAAAGGAGAAATATGATATTATAACAGTTTAACAGACATCTGAGGAACTTCAATCAATCAGTCAATTAATCAGTCAGTCCTACAGAGGCCTACATTTTATTCCGTATTACGGTTACCATATATAACAGAACAGAGGTATAAATAATTCGAAACAAGTTGAATTGGAAAAATTAAATGAAGGCATTTACATTTTTATTTCATCGGTGCGTCCATACAAAATAATGAGCGTATGATCTTTAGTCGATCATATCAAAATTTATTGTCGAAGATATTAAACCTGCTTTAGACGTTCGACATTTTTGGTAATCAGAAAGGGCTTGTATACGACCATGGAGACTAGTTCCTCCATTACGACTCATTACTTGATAGAAGTCTACAACTCGTATCTCATGCGGAAACCCATAATACTATTAGCACGCTTATCGGATTTCACTAAAGTGTTTGATATTGAGTATCGCATTGCTGTTAACAGACTTCTTAGCATGATGTTGCTTTGCTGCCAATGGGTTGTCGATTTTCATTCTGATAGAAGGATCAAATACATAAACGTTTTTCTGAGTGGGAAACTCTTACAGGTGAATTTCCTCATCATTTCCCCTATAATGTTTGTATCTTTAACAGTACGATGAACGAAGAATTTATGTTGGAATATAGTAGGCCTATCCAGGTCTGAAAAAGTATGTGGATGATTTGACACTTGGATAAAGTCGAGTTTTGGTGACCCAAGTCGATATCAAGGTGGATTAGATGCACTCTACAAATGTTCTAAGATCATTGACCTGGCTTAACCCCTCTATGTGCCATCATGTAGACGTATTTTGGACGGAAAACACTGGATATCCACATTGATAATACTCCTTTATCGATTGTGAACGAAGTTAAACTTATTGCTGTTGATTCAGTGCAATTTAAAATGGGATGCTCAAAAGTTAAACGTATGGTTAAAAAGACCAGCAATAAGTTGTTTATAAACAAACTGGACTTGACATTTCTGATCTTCTTGTTGAGTACAAATGGTATATTCGCCCGGTACTTGAATAATGCTGTGGCAGCTTGGAATAGAGGACTGTTTTGCAGAGGGCTCGTCTCGGAGATGTTCAGATTTGTATGTGCCGCTAGTTACTTGGAGTGGGGAGGACAGTACCTGGATTACGGAAGTGGATTACGGAAGTGCTCACACTGTTCTTGGACTGGAGTATCTCAGCGATCGCCGGATGACACTGTGTAGAGAGGTTGGCTAAAAAGGCCGTGTGAGCGACAAATTTCCACACTGGTTTCAGAAAGTAAAGTCCACCCAATTTATGCAGCTTCGGGAAGAGAAGAGATCGACAACCATATTTAAAATACTGTAGTCCAATACTACAATACTGTACCATATCTCACAAATTTCTTTAATTAACAATTTTTTTTTTGATAACCCACATTTCCACATTTCTTCACATGTCCTCACTTTGACATCCAGCGGTCATGTGGCACTGCCCGGGTGTGGTGGTTACTTGGTTAGTTTTGGCTTTTGTACTGTACTGCCACTTTGATGGGCTTGGCTGCGTGTGTGTAAGGCATCCGTGTGTGGGTCACCTGCAGCTTAAATGTGAGGGGTTTTTTTCCAATTCAATTTGGCTTATATTTCAACTCTTTTTTTTAAATGAATGTGTACGGTTTTTAAATTAAATTTTATTGTAAACAAATGCCACCACATTTCAGCCCTTTAGCTGCCATGGAATTTGTAGGCCTACTTGATTGTATTGTTTTTGAAATAAAAACACCGCAGTTGTTTCATCAGTTGCAGAGGAGTTATGTGGACTCGAAATTGTGACTTTCACACATTCGAGCCCTGACTTCGTGAACATAATGTTAAATACGTTACGTAATTACCTATTTTATTAATCAAATTAAGTCGATACTAATTACCACGTTCTGACGTTTGGCCTATATTGATTTTAATTTCATTGCTGGAATATTATGTTAAATATTAAGCGGCCCGTAATCGCATTTTCTATGAATACACAGACTATGGTAATCGGTTCATGGTTCATGGTTCATGGTGGAACTATGAGATGTACAGTTAATTTTCTTTTCATTGGGCAGCAAGTGTACGCACCTTATGCCCCTCCTCCCTGGATAATTGCTAAGGCCCCACAAGATGACAGGGTGTATAAACGTACGTATTTTAACACGTGTTTATGGAATATACATTATATATATATATATATATATAAAATAACACTGCAGTTGTTAACATAAACGCCGGACACTTTGACATAATTTGAGACATGTACATTTATTTAACGAAATTTTCGGCAGCACCTGCTGCCTTCGTCAGCGTAAGAG